AGCAGCATACGGAGAAGCTTCATCACGGTCTGCTTTACTTTCATTCCACCAGTAACTCTAGCGATTGTTTCTCTATAAAAATCAAACGTATATCATAAGTTTATAAATTAATATTAATAAAGTCCTAAATTTGTTCTTTTTAATTGAATTTTTTTGCAACCGTTCATCTTTCTTTTTTTCTAATATTAAGAGAAAAGAAAAAAGATGAACCATGCAAAAAGTCCAGCTAGAAAGAATAGACCTCATGATTAAACATAACACAAACCTTCCCGATAAATCAGTAACGTGCACAAACGTATCGTTGAAACTGGCGAAGATGTGAGCCACTCCGAAAACGACCTCTCCTTCGCGAAGTTGAGGTCCAAGCGAGACCTGTACTTCTTCCTTCTGTACTTTTCCTCTTTTTGGCGGCATTTTCTAAAGTAACAGGATATAATTTCGATTATTAATTTGCAGCTCAATCATCTCTATTTTCACTCTCCTACAAATCTGTATAAACAGTCTTGAAATAGATTTAAGGTTACGTTGCGGCAAGCACGTGTGCACAAGCAAGAACGTATACTATCAGCTATAACTATAAGATTCATCCAGTCACATGATCTACCAGATATAAAACAATTTCCTAGCAGAAATTTATTTATAAATATTCAATTAACAAATCTGATTTAATATTTTTGTCAAATAAACGATATTTATTGCTAAATTACCTGCGAATTGTAATCACTACATTCTATCGTTTCAACGCGATTTACACAGGACTCGTAAAAGAACGTTTCCGGTAAGTGTCGGTCCACAATAAGTATTTAATCTTTAAGTCGTAAGAAATTGACCAATCATAGTCGATTATTCTTTTCATATTCGATTATAATTGGTCAATTTCTTACTTCTTAAAGCTTAAATCACCTATTGTGGACCGACACTAAATCTTAATACGTTTAAAGAAAATATGTGTAGAAGAAGATTGAAGAATTATTAAAAATTAGATATGATATAATGTTTTTTGAAATAAATTTTAAAAACAAAAAATTTTATTTATTTCTTTTTTTATATATTTGACTTTCAAAGATAAGTTTGATAAGGAAAGATATTAAACATAAACAATTTTATTATTTGTACATTATTTAAACATATAAAAATGTATTAGGTATTTATTAATACCTTTAAGATGTATTGTATTATTTGTAAATTGTATTATTTAAATTAAAAAATAACGCAAATATTAAATGTATTTAAATATAGGCGGCAATTGTTAAGAAATGGCTAGTTTGTTTTATAAGTGTCGGTCCACAATAGATGATTTAAGCTTTAAGAAATAAGAAATTGACCAATTATAATCGAATATGAAAAGAATAATCGATTGATTGGTCAATTTCTTACGGCTTAAAGATTAAATATTTATTGTGAACCGACACTAACTCTTATTAGAGAATCTCTATTCCTTACATCTCTCTGCATTTTCTATGGCTATAATGGGGGACTTTTGGGGCCTTTATGGATTTTTGTTCTCTATGTTTACATCATGAACAATTTATTTCCGAGTCTCTCTGAAAAATTAAATAAATTCGCTACGCGACAGAAAATTTGATAAAGAGATTAAGCAGATTTGAAAAAAAAGTTTGTTAACGCAACGAAACTGTGTTAATAAATATTCATTAAGGATATAACCTCTTTTTGGAAGATAAATTGTAGCGTGAAACGCTAATAAAGCTTATTTTTTGATAATTAGATTGTTTATCCATTTATTAGCAAGATGGATATTCTGAAAGCGGAGATAATGAAGAAACGCAAGGAATTGGAAGAGAGCCATGTCTTGGTATGTTACATGTGTTTTATGATTTTGTGGCGTTATATGTAATAATTTGATAGATATTTACGTTGAAATATTTTCTCCACAGGAAAATAATAAGAAATACTTTAAAAGGAGTCAGCTGATATCTAAGCAACAGGAAGTGCACGAGACTGACAAGGGGAGCAATGAAGATGCTCCTTCCAATGACAGTCAGCATTCGGAAGAACATGTAACAGACAGCAGCTCGGAACATTTGCTATCCAGACAGGAAGTAATCAGGCGATTACGTGAACGGGGAGAACCCATATTGATATTTGGTGAATCTGAGATTGAAGCATTCAAAAGATTGAGAAAGTGTGAAATTCTTGAACCAGAAGTGAATAAAGTAAAGTTTCAATATGTTTATATATTTCTTCAATCCAAATGGTAAAAAAATGCCAATTTTTATCAATATTTTATAAATAGGGATTTAGAAATGATTTTCAAGAGGCCATGGAACAAGTGGATCAAGCATATCTCAATGAGATCTTGACATCTTCTAAATCCCAAAATCTTGATGGTAAGGGAGATGTGAATGTACCTGATGAGGGTGTTACTTATGAAGATATAGAAAAAATGTCGACGAAACTGAACAAGGGAGACAAAGACTTTGATATGAATGTAATTACTCTGTTTGTACAATATTTGGTTCAAATGTGGGGCAATCAATTAAATAGCCGGTCAACCGCCGAGAAGATGAGCACGAAGGGGAAGATGAACAGCGCTACGTATGCTCAAACAAGAGAATATTTAAAGCCGCTCTTAAGAAAGCTGAAAAACAAATCTCTTCCAGAGGATATAACTGACAGTTTAACAGAAATCGTTAAGCATCTATTACAGCGTAATTATATATTGGTATGCGTCTAATTACATATGAGTATCTTGTCAATATTATATCAATATGGCAAATGTAATAATAATATCTATAATAAAGAGTGTTCCGAGTGTTTTATATAACATCGATTGTTTTTATTTCAGGCTAGTGATGCCTACTTGCAAATGGCAATAGGCAATTCTCCATGGCCTATCGGTGTAACTATGGTTGGTATCCATGCTCGTACCGGTAGAGAGAAGATCTTCTCCAAGAATGTTGCTCACGTTATGAATGATGAAACTCAGAGGAAATACATTCAAGCACTCAAGAGACTGATGACTAAATGTCAAGAATATTATCCTACAGATCCTTCGCGTTGTGTAGAATATTCAAAAAATTAGATTTCCTACACGCGCGATATAGCATTTTCTATGCCATAGAAAAATTTGAGCAGTAAGATTTAAACAGAATTGATTAAACATTTTTAACAATAATTTTACATTGTGATTAGTTGATTCGCTTACTACTTAAATTTTTTGAGTTATTGCCTTAACATGTACAAAATAAATAAGACAATCAAATTTAAGTTTGCATGTAGATATTGTAAATTATTATTATTATTATAAATATTCAGAGCAACATATTGTTATAAACCTTAATTATAAAATAATCTGTTACCAATTTGGAACTTTTTTCTGAGGTAATTAACATGATGTATATATTTATTTTTGTATATATAAACTTTTATAAATTATATCACTGAATTATATCACGTTTCGCAAAAATAAAATTCGCACTTAAAAAAAAACAAGACTTAGAAAATTACATGCTTGTATTATATGAATCTAATATCTTTAAATAATATCTTTAATAAATGAATACAAAATATTATATCCAACTAAGTAATGGATAACTAATGTTTATTTAATCTATTATGTATCCCAAAATTATTTTGGATCCATGTTATTGTTATATGATAGAGCTGTTAGTTCGTTTGATCTCTTCACAGCAGCTTCGATAGCGTTCATGAAAGATCCTCTGTTTTCAATTAAGCAAAATATCAAGATTTAAAAATTAAATTATTACCATTATATCACAAAAAGATGTATAAAATATCTTGTCAAGTACCTGACTCCGCCTATTTCTATAGCGTGAATGCCAGTAATGGTGGTACCTCCAGGCGAGCAGACCTCGTCTTTCAATTGGCCGGGATGTCGTCCGGTCTCGAGTACCATTTTACCAGCACCTATCAGCACTTGTGCCGCAAATTTAGTTGCCATTGGCCTTGGCACACCCATTCTTACAGCCCCATCTGCTAATGCCTCTATGATTGGATATACCTGAATAAAAATAATTTGAAACAATATATATGCTATATATTCCTACTTCTCTAATCATGAGATAATTATTGTAACAACTTACAAATGCTGGACCACAACCTGATAGAGTACCAACAGCATTCATAAGACTCTCTGGAACATTTTGACTCATACCGATATAAGAGAATAACTTATCTACCAGTTGTAAATCCATTGAAGTAGCATCTTCGTTGCTGCAATAAACTAAAAATTATATTTATACACAAGTTATTAATACACAAGTTATTAATATACAAGTTATTAATACACAAGTTTGTCTTCTATGTTGCGTTCTATGTTCTTTTGATGTACCTATAATTCCCTCCCCAACCATCATGGGTGTATTTGGCATGGTCCTAATTATCCTTGGTGAATTCACAATCCATCTGATTTTCTAAAAATTATTTTAGAAAGTTGAATTGTCAGTAATAATTGAAACAATATTATAATATCAATGTTACAAAGTCATACAAAATCTGCTTAACTTACAGCATATAAGACTTCAAGGGGTACACCAGCGAGAACCGAGATAAAGAGCTTACTTTCGAACTTTTCGCCCGTAGCAGATTTTACAGTTTCAAGCGCATCCTCCAGTATTTGCGGTTTCACAGATAAAAACACAACATCGCAGTTGTCTACGACTTGGCTGTTACTAAACGTTGGCTTTGCTCCTAAATCTTTCCAAAACCTATGCGTCCTGTCTGTACGACTGGAGATCCAGACATTTTCTGGAGTTAATACATCTGTTGCACAAAGGAGAAAATAAAATGTGTATCATTCTGTAATTTCTGTACACGTTTTCTTTTAGTTTGAAAAGTGACGTGAAGATATTTACTTTTTCGAATTAAACCAGCGCCTATGGCACTGGCCATATTTCCACCACCAATAAATCCAATTTTAATCTTTTTTAGATCTTGGTCTACCATAGCTGACATCGCAATAATATACAAACGTGTTAAACAATACCGGATGTGATACGTGAAACAATATTAAATAATCGTACACTGTACAGACAATATCACGCAGCGTTCTTGTATATGTGTAAAACAACCGGTCAAGGTGGTTCCTTGTACCATAAGTTATGCCAATATAGAATGTGATACGTGAATGCAAATAAATCGAATTTTCGGACTGATTTTGTGTGTAAGCTTTTGTTTACATTAAAGTAATTAAAAATTTTGATTAATTTTGATTCAAATTTTGATTATTTATTTCATTTTTACTGATTTGTATTAATTTTAATTTCGGTTTAATTTATTTTCCATTTTTTCTAATCCTTAGAACTAAAAAGATAATAAATTAAACGAGATTGAAGTTAATTTAGATTGGTAGAAATGGGACAACAAAATTATATCTAATTAATTTGAAATACAAAAATACGTCGAGGATAAGATAGGTCTCAAGGATTTTATACAACTTTGGCGGAAGTAAAGTTCAGAATTTTTCAAAATTATTTTTACAGAGGTACATATTAAAATTGCAAATAATCATAATGTAAGTAATCATAACAGTAAATATCAGATCTAAACACGATCAGTCCGAATGACGCATATGCGGGATATATAGGGTGTTCTAAACATTTATGCTGAGGAGTATCCCCCAGAGCTGTAGCAAGTTCAACTGGCGCCTCGGCCAAACCGATCTCGACTTAATTACCTCTATTACATTTCCAAAATAATATAAAAAAATATACTTACATCTGCCTCTTTTCCTATGATATTAATACGTAAAAAGAGATAGGTATTTTAAACAAAAAGTGAAAAATAATCAACAGACGCATTTGACTGGCTACTTTTGGGACGCTTTATACATGCGCGTGATGCGTCACGCATGTATGATGGTGACTGATGGTGTATGTATATGTATGCCGATTACGCGAGGTTGTATTCGCGATGGATGACAGGAGCCCGTCGGAGCGCGATTAGGACCACGAGAAATACCTAGTCGCGGATTTTTCTCCCCCCTCCGCGATGGGCAATTGCATCAGGAGCGTGCTGAAGAGGCTGCGAAGGAACCGTGCCGCGGAAAAGTATGCATTTATTTACGACACAAAAGATGCGTGTGATGAGAGGAGATCGTGGGGGATGGGGAATGACGTCTTGTTTACATTCCTTTTTCGCGATTTCAGGACCATTATCCTGCTCATTGTGGGACTGGACAACGCTGGGAAGTCGACGATACTGAACCATATCAGTGGCGGTAAAATTGTTTTTAAGAATTAAGAAGTTTTTAACGGAGAGATACTGGGAGAGCTTATCACTGCACAGCATCAATTCTCTTTTTTTTTGCGTAATATGTTTCTTTTTCTATCTAGATCCAGATCAGAATGTATTGCCTACGATGGGATTCCGGACGGTATCCTTAAAGCATAAATCCTATTTCGTGAAGATATACGATGTAGGAGGTAGTTCCCAGATCAGAGCGTTGTGGCCTAAATATTACAACGATGTGAGTAACCTATGTATGTTTGTAAACAGACAATGTATCATAAATAAACGTTGTGATAAAAATATCAGTGAGATTGAGCGATCGGCAAAGAAAAACTCCAATATTCTATTTCACGTCTTATTTGACGTCTTCTAGATACATGGTCTTATATACGTGGTGGATGCTAGCGATATTTCTCGTCTTGCGGAAAATAAAGTCGTGTTTAATGAATTAATCACACATGAGCATATCTCGACGAAACCAATATTGTTGTAAGAGATTAATTGAATTTATGTCTCTGCACACTTTTATCTGCGCACATTTCGTGTACTTCATGCTTTTGAATATACACTCTCTATAGTTTAGGAAAAACAAATTAGATCATTTGCATATAATGATCAAGGATGTTGAAATGATCAAGGATATTAATCATTATATGCAAATTATGTTTGTATTGTCGATAATAATCTCATTCAAATTTTCGTGATGTATGTATAGACTCGCCAACAAACAGGATTTAAATGGAGCTATCGACGAGTTGGATGTAGTTGAAAATCTGGATGTAGAGCATGCAGCCAACACTATGAAATGTCCGACAAGGGTCGAAACATGCTCTTGCATTTTTGACAAGGAACAATCCAAGAGCAGTACTGCAGGCATAAAAGATGGATATAAGTAAGCTTATAATTACAATTAAGAAAATTTAAATATACGCACAGAATAGGAGTTTAATGGTATATACTTCCATATTGATGATCAGAACTTATTTTCTGGCAGGTGGTTGTTGGATACTATAGTAAAGAACTATGCTATCCTGAATAGCAGAGTAAAACAATTACAAAATAGTCAACGTAAAAGCATTCAGGAGACACAATCTGTTGCGTCAAATACACCATCAAGAATGTCAGTACATTCCAATCCTTTTAAACCTATTAAAGATCTTCTGGCAGCAAAGGTGCGAATGAATATTAATTGTATAGCTATCTCTATTTATATTCATCATTTTAAAAATCTAATGACAAATTTTTTTAATGATTTTTCATTATCATTGATCTTTTTTCTTTAAATTTCAGGATGAAGTTTTAATAAGTGAATCGTGCAATGGTACGTATTTATGTTATTTATGTAATAAATATATCTTGATGCTCCAATTTTATATAAAATTTTTTAATAGGTACCAGTGAAGGAAGAAGCATTATAAAAGCTTTTACACGGAGAAATAAGACTGCCCCTCTTCCAGTTGAACAAACGACAATTGAATGTGAAAGTCTTTCACGAAATCCTATTCCTAATGTAGAAACTCTGCCTGAAGAGAAAAGTACACAAACTATGACTACAATATTAGACCCTTTGAGTTTAAATACTAATCATAGTGAAAGCTACAATATGAAATTAATCCGTCCATACACAGCGCCAGAAAGATCACAACGATTATCAAGTAATATGACGATAGTTAATATTCCTGGACAAGTACCTCAATGACAGGATCTGTAAATTTTGTATATAAGTTGTTTGTAAGTTAAAAGGGACCATACATAATTTAATGAATCATATGTTATGCTATGAACAAAAAACTGTAAATGGCCATAAAAATAAGTTACATTAAGCTAAACATTATATAGCTTTTAAATAAGTGATATCTTTGCTAATTTTCATAAATCAATTTTGCTTAACTTTATATATATATATATATATGTGTGTGTTTTAAGTTACTATCTTTTTTGTATAAACGCTTTATATCATCTCTATTGTTAAACTCGAAAGGCAAAAATAATTTTAGCTTTACTAATATCAATAATGACATATATTAAACTGAAAAAAATTTGTAAATTTATGATACATATAGATATAATAAATTCGTTACTTACTCAACGAGATACGTGTATGTAAAATACATTTTTGGTTATTTAAAAGAAAGATATTAAGATTTTAGATTTTATAATATATTATTTTGATATATTTTGATATATTTTGATATATTTTATATAATATCTATGTTGTATCAATTTATTGTAAATTTGTATACAAGTTCGTGTATAGAAAGATATTACAAATATATACGATACAAAGCACATAAAATATTACTAAAAGCTATGTATGTAATGATGCTGCAAAATTGCTTCAATACTCCGGTAACATCGATTCAAAAATTTTAATTTCAATACAAATTTTTTGCGGCATATATATATTTATATATATATATATATATATATATATATATTAAGAATATCTTGAATGCACATCAATTATTGCACTATATATTTATCTGCCTTTTCCAAAAGTTAATTAATCCAAAAGTTTATTCGTTAAAATATGATTATAATTAGTTTGATTATAGCTCTAGTAAGGAGATCATATGTCATTAATCGCTCTCAGAACGATCAAAACTCATTGCGGTCGAAAACGCTAATAATGGCTATTCTTAGCGCCATGTTTATCACAACACACAATGCGAGACATTGTGCAATTTTATATTTTGCAATGACATCTTTCACTTTTGAGCAATTGCTTTCATATCATTTAGATAAGATGTTCGCATTGCAAAATACGTCTGTATAAAAACTGCAAATATCTTATATGAGGAACAATAAAGGAGAACACGATTCGCAGAAACTATCATTGTATATCAAAAATGTCTAAATATACGCCATGCATGTCATGCATATGCTAGTAGTCTTACATAGTTTAACCATAGTTATCAAACAATTATGTGTATAAGGCATATAAATTCCATTTATCTTACTATGAAAGACTTTGTATCACGTTTCGCAAATTTCGTTACCGTTTCTCTTGCGAATACAGCAATCTCCACCGTCATATGATAGTTGCTCTTTTTCTTTTTTCTTTAAATTCTTATCGAATATCTTATGCTCATTAAACTAGTTACAAACCCGCTGAATGATCTCACAATCAGTGTTTGCAGGCAAGGTAACGCATCTTAACAGTCTAATTACAATGTGACTTATCTTACATCTTTTTCTTTCTTTAACACTTTTGTAACATTCGAATACTCGTTGCAATTGCAGTTTATGGTAAATTACAACTATTTTATCTCAGACAGATCATAATTGTGTACTGTAAGACTGAATGTTTTGTAACATTTTGTAACATTGTTTTGTATATCAGGTTATTATTTATTGCAAAATACGCACATATTGCTTTTACCGGTTTGGTATAAAATATATGTGTCTATGTATATATATATATATGTATTTATATATATATATATATATATATATATATAATCATTGGAAAGATCAGGACAGTCACATTATAATATATATATATATATAATTTATAATTATATATATGATTAAAAAATATTCTGCTTGTATGTGTATAACATCGATGCTACTGTAATATGAAATAGCGATAACCTTTTCTATATATGTTTTATATTTTTATGAATTATTGACGAAAAATATGATTAAGAATATTGTATATAGCATGTATTTTTGCAGTCAATAACTCTTTTATTTGTACTTATTATATACTTTAATTGTACGAAATAAGAATGTCATAAGCAAGATATCTGGACAAAACAATGTCTAAAATCGGGACATAAAATGCCTGGGTACTTGCTTTTGAAATTTCCTTCAAATAAATTGATCCAAATATCTTATACTTTAATTACTTTATACTTAATACTTATTGTAAATAATTGCGCTAAATGTAAAAAAAAATTGATGCACTTTTATCACAACACAAATTTTTGTCATTTAACGGAGTATAAATAATGAAAATTGAAAATGTAGGAAAGAAATTCTGGCAGTAATCTGCTTTCCTAATAAAGACAAAGGAACAATAAAATGAGCACAAGAGAAAATAAAAATACCATGTATAAAAATCTGTTTCTGTAAAAAAAAAAATTTTCTAGTAAAAAAAGATTATTCCATGTTGCTATTATCTAAATGTAATATATTTATATTGGGACACAACCAGAATTTCTAAAATCATTTTAAAACGATACTGGATATATAAAATGTTACATATCTAGTACGTCTAATCATATTAGCAAACTGTTGGCGCATGAATAAAATTGATACTGCACCATTTGCAGCTAAACGATATGGCTTGTATACCGTAAATAGGTATATAAAAGCAATAATAATCTCTTTTATTCTACAGGCTATACAACTCCATTCTTCGGAGAGGTAAATTTTACCAATCGAGTCAACATAGTGGTAATGCACGGAATCTGTTTCTGTTGATGCATAGCGAGGTTGTCCGGTGTGTTTGACTCGAAATCCAGGGCAACACGTTGGCACACAAATGTCAGCAAAGTCAATAAGTCATAGCGAATACCGTTCTCACGTAATTCTGAGCATAATGCTTGCATAAACCATGATCCGCGGCTTGTGTTCCTCCAAGAATAATAACCTATCAATTTCCAAAAATTATTTTTAAATTGCAAGTTATTTCAGTCAGATAATTCAACCTTCTCTCGAGATATTATCTTTTTATAATGATGTAGTTTTTAGATGCAGAAACAGTACCTGGAATAGTTGAATAAGCAATGAGGAAGTCCGCTTGAGTGGGAATACGAAATGTCGGAGCATATCCATCCGTTTCAGTACGTTCTTTAAGATTAACACCCGGATCCAATCTGTCACCCTGGCAGGCTTGTATAAAGAACAGCTTAGGTCTGCCAGCGAGACTCGGGCACTTATCAGCAGTAAAGTACTGCCACAGAGAATCCGCTTTATACGAGGTATCATGAGCATAGAGCCAATCCTAATTCACCGTGGCTTAATACAGCTACCACCAAACAATCATGTTCGGAGTGGAATCCTATATCCGCAACTG